TTATATAAAATTTCTAAACTTTAAAATGGAACCATATACTGTACAGTATTTATAATTTCATTATCACTGACCTCTCTAAACACTTTATGCAAAGTGTAGAGAAATGAATAAGGTTACCTTTTGGAGTTCATTCATGTCACGACCCCTATTCAATATTGATGTGTCATCAGCATACATTAATGCTCTGCCTTGTGTTAGATGTGGGATATCATTTACATATAAAATAAAAAGTAATGGACCAAGGACAGAACCTTTAGGAACTCTATATCTAACTGGAAGGCTACTTGACAAGTATTCTTTCATTTGATTGTTTGCTACATGTGAGACTTTTACTTGTTGTGTGTTCTGTTTGTGAGATAGGATTTAATTAGCTTATGTGGTATGCCACAAACTCCATATTGGTATAATTTATCCATTAGGATGTTATGTTCAATACGATCAAATGCTTTTGATAAATATAATAGTACACAATTGCACTTTATTTTATTATTCAGATTTTCAATGATTGCAGCAATTGCATCATTTGATGATTTATTTTTCCTAAATCCAAACAGATTTATTAAGGATATTGTGTTTATCTAAGAAAGAAGTTAGCTGAATAGCTGTTATCTTTTCCAGAACCTTTGAAAGGGCTGGAACAAGCGTAATTGGACGACAATTATGTGCATCTTCTTTCGCCCCCTTTTTGTAAATTGGTTTTACAACTGATTTTTTTAATGTAGATGGGAAGATGCCTTCTCTAATTGATGCATTGATCAATTCTAATAGTGGTCTTATCATGTAAGGTACACATTTCTTTGATAAATAGGGAGAGATATCATCTAGTCCTGCTGATTTTTTATTCTCAAAACCCTGAATTACTCATCTCATCTGAATCAAACCAGAGGTCCAGTATGGAAATGAACTGGACCACTTTATGAGTAAACTATATCACAGGTAGATAAACTTGAATGAATGTTATGTTTCCATTCAGATATTTGTATTCAACCTCATAACTTTAGTTCACACCATAAAACACTGACTGCCCTGGTGATTGATGCAGCAAGTACCTCTAAAATGTCAGTGAACTTCTACCAGGCTACATGATGCAACATCCCAGAAGACAGCCATCTGAACATAAAACACTTTTTTCAGTTACTGTAATCAGTAAATCAGTGAATATTCATTCTTCAAACCCAAATAAAAGTACCAGTTGTGCTGACAGTCCACTTACACAATTTTTTTTATTATAGTTCTGATGTTCAACTACAACACTCCACCAATAAATCCTCCAACGCATAAATCACATCATCTGACACACCATTATAAAAAAACAAGTAAAGTAAAGCTGTCCCACTTTTAACCAAGTAGGTCCTTGGGGGGAGATACTCATTCTAAACCTCAGCACAAGGTGGGGGCAAGTAGCATCACACCCCAGCAGCACTTTACCCCTGGGAAAGGAGCTTGGTACCCACTGGACAGGAGGCTGGGTGGATCCCACAACCGGTCTGGACCCGTCGGAGATTAAACCCCAGTCGTCCAGTCTGAGCCAGTCACTATATTGACCGAACTAGCCCAGTGATACCATTATACTTAACGAAAAGTCCTACTGGCACAAGAAGAATATTTTAGCTGTCCATAAAAATTTCATGCATCTCCGACATATGTTAACTGTTTCAAATATGTATACTCTTTAGCTGTCATATCTATTAATTATGAGCACTTAAAGAGAACCACCTGAAGATGACAAATTAAAGCTGAAACATGTAGTGGATCTTAATAAACACTGAAACTACAATCAAAAACTGTTGTATAGATGCACTGTTAACCTAACTAACATACATACATACATCAAAGCCACTTTACACTTGCTTCCATGATGATGGCCTAGGTGAGTAACATTACAGATACATCAAATTTTGGCTTTGTTCTATATCTTTCATTTCAACAAATAAGTTTTCAAAGATATTTTTTGTAATAATACATACAACTCACACAAGTCTTTTTTTTATTTTCACTGTAAAATATTTAATTTATACATTATTTACATCTTATAATACTTATGACAATACAATCTGCATTTAAAATGCTTGGCTATCCTGAATGAGGTCTCCCTTAGTCATTCAAGTGAATGCTGAGACAGCACATTTTCATTTCCTTATAATAACAGTTACTTCATTAGATTTTGGAGTTGACTAGTGGTATAAATAACTTTAGTTATGGAAATAATTACTGCAGGCTCTCTGCACTCTTTGGTGACATAAAAGCTATAGTTAAATTTTTCAAACATACACAAACTGTCAACCATAACTTATAATAGCATGAGTACTTCTCTTATCCTAATAAGTCATCACTAAACTACTTTACTGTGAGTTAAAATTTATTTCATGACCCAATTCTGCCATTTGATACTCAGTTATTTTATTATTTATATGCATACAAAAATAAATAATTATCTTATGTTTACTTTAAAGTTAACACAGACTTTAATAACTGTTTCAGATTTAATTTCTTCCTCATAAATCTCTGTAGGACTTCGGCCTGCCCCTATTGTACCTGTATGTGCCATCAAACAAAATCATATTTCACAGTAACATTAATTTAACAATCTGATACAATATTTATCCACTTACACAAAAGATATGTTCCTGAAAAAGCCACATAAACAAATAGCTGAAGATGAAGTGGGATGAACTGTGGCTGGAACAAAACTGAGATGAAGCATGCCTAGCTTCTTCTTGCTTACCCAAAACAATGCTGTTCATTGCTACCTGCAACAGCTTCTATTGTTTCCATCAACACTACACCATCATCCTGCCTGTTAGTAACAGCATATCTGAGTTAAAGTTAGAACAAAGTAATATAAATAAAAAAATGGTAGCCTATATATTCTTCTTCAAAACTTCAAACCGAAACCATGTGAATGAAGAAGTAAATGTAATAAGTATCTAACTGAAATAATTTTATGTAAACATTTGTGTTATAGTTACATTTACTTTCTAACAATACTAATGAAAATACATACACACTCAACAAGGTATATTGTTATCCACCAAGCACAACAATTTTGTTTTGAAATGTCTAATATCGCAATATCATAATGTCACATGTTTCAGCAGAGCTGTGCCATCACCAGACCCTTGTTCTACACAACATATACGTTGAGACTGATGGGTCTGACGATGGCACAGGTGTGGTGAAACATGTAGCCTTATGATATTCAAATAATATACTTTTCAAAACAAAAGTGTTGTGTCTGATGAATAACAATATATATTATAAAGTAATAACATAATGATATGTCACAAATAGTTACATATACACTCATATCTAATGACTTTAAAAGGTCACTGATATATAATACTTAGAGGTCATCAATTGATGCACAAGATAAACTTTTTAGAATATCACTATGAATATTGCAATTAGTTTTGAAGCTAGTTATTGCTCATGTCCCACACAGTATTTTATGCTATGAGCATCAACACTGCTTCTATTTCAAATCCAATGATTGATTGCTCAACATTTGCAACATGCACTTGGAAAATATTTCACTTCTAAAACTTCTTTTTCCATGGAATAGTTTGGGCCTCAAAATATACTGACAGAATCCCAAACCAAAACAAAAGAACAGAAAAGCTTTTAACTGGAACACAAAAATAGTCAATGCAAGTTTTGAATGAAAATATTTTGGATTATCGTTAGGAATGATGATGAAAGACTCTTGCGTTACAAGCCGCATCAGGTGGCTGAACGGTGAATAAACCATTTCTGCCAATGTTTCGAGAAGGATCTCTGCTCTCATCCTCAGGGCTGCTGCATGCAGAGATTGTTCTTGAAACGTTGGCAGAAATGGTTTATTCACCATTCAGCCACCTGATGCGGCTTGTAACTCAGAGTCTTTCATCAACTTCAGTTGTCATTAAATATTCACTTTATACATGAGGAATAACTTCATAACCAAGTGCATATTCTGTATTTAACATATAAGATGTTCAAGTTACTTAAACCTTTGAAGAGCATGCATATATTCTTACGTGAGTTGGAATGTGCATGAAAGCTGTAAGTTTGCTCTGCATCATATGCATGTGCATTTACATTTTCTTTATTTATGACTTCCATCAGACACTGAAATATTTGTTTACTTGAAAATTTTGATTCAAGATTATATTGTCCGGACTTTCCAATTATGAAATAAATCAATCTATGTCAGATTACTTGTACTTATTGACGCATAAAGAAAATTTGTAACCTCACTAATTTGGAATTATGGGTGAGACAGTTAATGCACGACGAATCTGTGTGTGTTGAAGATGGAATTTGATTGTCACATTGCTAATCAAAGAGTTAATAACAAATTTACTTTCAATCATGTATAGTATACACAAGACTACACATAACAGGAATCATAAAGTGAAAGAAAGAAATGGCCCCATATAAACAGATCTTATAGAAGTTTTGTATCCCTGCCAAAGGTGTTTTAATGTACACCTTAATTTAGTACAAAAGTCCATACACTGTATTTCTATTTTAGGTTATCAAGAACAATTCAAAATATACTGTAAATAATTTTCTAATGTAAATAAAATAAGTGGACAAATTATCAGTTACCTACATCTAACATGTTCTACTGTACCATGCAGAGAAAACTCTAACTTCTATCAAGTCACCGTGTTATCAGTAGTTATTGAGATAAGCAAGTGTTTGTACTTATATGGATTCAGTGTTTAAGACAGTGTCCATGTCCAGTTCAGATTTCATAGTGTTTTACTGATGTACTCACAATAACAGTAGGATTTTTCTAATACAAAGAAAATGTTACCAAAAGTTTAGCTGAAAATATCTACATTTTACAAAGTATAAAATGTTGGAAATTTTAGTGCAACATGCTCACTGTTGGAAGGGGGGGGGGGGGGGGGAAATACATCTTTTACCTGAACAGACTGAGGTACGATGCTAAATCTGAAACATAAAAGCCACTCTGCCCCATGACTCTTCAAAGGTGCATGTCAGAGAATTCAACTCAAGTAAAAACAAAATTATTAATGTTTAGTTATTGTGAAGTTCAAGCCACACAAATTTCATGCCTACAGATTGTGTGGAATGAGAATCACAAATAACTTTACACTCTTTTTAATCAGACAGTGGTTTACAGTAAGTGGTTATGTAAAAAATCAAGACAATCCCTACTGGAGTGTAGGAAATCACCATGGAGTTCACAGATTCAAAAATGTTTGTCATATGTAGAAGTACTGCTTCAAGATGACAGGCTCTTCTGTAAAATAATGTAAGTTACACTGTATGGGAAAGTATACAGATATTTGTTGACAAAAGTTCAATTGCTATACAGACATGAAGTTATCAATTCTAAGGACTCACTTCAAAGATAAATTGTCCACCCTGTACAACTATTATGATGAAATCCTCTTACATTTTATAATAATGCTCATCAAACGTGTACAAAACCAATTCATAGCGCTTCACCTCTGACCTGCAAAATAATGAAGAGAAACCAGAAAACCAATCAAACATTGCAACTACAAAATATAAGTTATTCCATAATAACAATACACTTTCATCATCACCATTATCTCACTGTTCTCTGTAAATATGAAACTGAATCTTTTCACTGCCTTTTTAAGCATCTTCCCACCAGTGGATTCATATTTTAAATTTGGATGTGGAGAGGTGGTTCTTTAAATATGTAAGATTTGAGGTCTTCATGGCAGTGAGGGTGACAATGATCTTCCGGGTTTTAGTGCCACATAGACTTGTTGGTAGATGCCAATATCTTATAATGTCTCCATCTTCAGGGCAGAATATGTTTCAGAGAAACATGTCTTCATCTTCAGCCCTGAAGATGGAGAGAGTACATTTCTTGGTAATAATGGCATCAACTGACAAGTCTACATGGCACCAAAATCCAGAAGATTAACTTTCAATGTGTAGTTGAGACTGCTTCTACATCTTGAATATAACTTGTTACTTGTGACATTCCATCATAATTAGCTCATTTTATGGTTAAAAAGGGTCTGACAATATCTTCCCATTAGGCCTCTTTACATCCCAAGCTCTGCTATTATATGCCTTGGAAGCCCTAATAAATTAAAATTCTTGTCTGAAGTCTGATGATGATTTGAAAATTTATGTTTGGTTAATATGCCAAATTATCTTATTTTATAGGCAAGATTCTGAATAATGTTTCCATGGGGAACTTGAAATCTGAGAAACTTACGCCTGAATATTTTTAATATTTCCCAGTGGACTTAAATGTCACATAAGACACACAAAAACACCTGATGCTCCAATGTAAACAAATTCATGAGCAACAGAAAATTAATTTTGCACAACACTGATTCTCATTGGAAAATCACAAGGTAACATGCCACTTCCTCTTAATATGACTACTGACTCAGCATTGATGTGGTGATCATGAACAGTGGAAAGGCCATGTCACAGCCATCAAATCAGTAAGACAACAACTTTCTTTCAACTTTCCAAGTGCATATACATAATTGTATTCCATCAAAACACGCAACATCCAGCATATTAGTAAAACACTAACGTTATTACCAAGTTACTGTTGATTGATGCGATTGCGGTTTATACACACTAAACATGTTTCAACCAAACTAGTCATTTTCATGTGTTAAGATTAAGAACTTAAAAGAAATTATATATAACATATAAAATTACATACAGTGTGTATTAAATGAGAAGCAGCAAGGAGTGTGTGTGTTATAAGATAAAAACACTGTCGGCATCAGCTACGTTTATCAACTGCCACACCCACCCGTCAATCAGGTTAAAGGCAACAGATTTTAAGAATATCCTTTGTTCTATTGGCCGCGAGGATATTGCAAACCTAAAACTATGAACTTACAGAACAGAACAATCAAGGAAATACTATTGACAGATTTGATAAATCAAAAGTTATTCTTTCCTCATATGTACATAGAATTTGTGCAGATTTAATAGCATTACAAGAGTAGCATGGCAGTGGTTTATTTACATTTATTGTTACTATCTCTAGATCCTCGATTTTTCAATATATAAGCAGTGTTACGTACTGTCAAAACAAGGCCTTTTGTCTTTGTGAATGGTACAAAAGACATCAGAGTTGTCTGGGGTCAGTGATCTTTGCACAGGTGGGGTATCAGGATAGTCAATAAGGTAAATCAGAGATTCTCTTCCCCACATTGTTGCACAGGCAAGTGCTTGGCTGGCAATTCCACGTCACTTCTATCACATATCCTGATGAATCCCTAACTTTGTGGAAGAGCAGGCTAGGGTTAAAGCTGTACATTCCTTTGAAGGCTGTTAAATTTTATATAAGTAACATCATTTGAAAAATGTGAGTCGTCTATGGCAGTAGTCCCCAACGCGGTGCCAGCCAAGGCTCTTTTTGGGTACCCACGTTGTTACGGAAAGAGGTTATACTGAATAATGAAGGCCGTTCAACCATGAACATTATAAAATCAAAGCGCAGATATCGACTTACTGAAGCCCATCTTGACGATTGTTTGCGAGCAGCAACATCATCCTACACTCCCAAATTTGAAAAACTGGCCAATGAAATGCAGCGACAAACATCACACTAACTTCCCACTTGAGTAATAATAATTGTACTTACGAAACTACGTATTTTTGATTGCATCGTTTCTTGTATCATTAAACGTTGTGTTGTTCTGTATAATACTTGGTGTCCATATCTTATTTGTCCAGAGAAAAGAAAATTTGGCTTTGTTAATTGGTTGGTGCCTGCCACGATCTCATAAACTCTCAAATGTGCCCATAGGCACAAAAAGGTTGGGGAACACTGATCTGTGGTATATTCATGGAAATTTAATGAAGTAGAAACACAACAGCACTGACAAGCAGTACTGTCCCAGCTGTTTGAAAATGAGTATGACACAGGTCTACCATGTTGTTTTTTTCCAAGATGGCTATAGGCAAGTGGGCAGCTGGTTAGGCTGCAATTTGCTGCAACTATGCTCGGGTAACAGACAATGAAGGTAGCCTTTGATGAATGGTAAGTTATCACAACGAGAATGACATTTACAAAGTATAATAAAAACTAACCAGTGCTACAGCAGATGCTGAAAATGCTTCCTCCCGACTGAATATACCCAGTGTACCTACAGAACACACTGGTGTTAACTCTTGGTTAATCCACAGTGTGGTGATTTGTTTGTCACACTTTATATTGTGAAATTCCCACAAATAAAAGTTATAAGGTGTTATCAGGGGAATGTGGGGGCCAAAGACCATGACAAATGACTCGGTCACTGAAAACCTCTTACATTGCTTCCAAACATACATATGCTGTATAATCTATTGCATAATCTTACTGAAAAACATTGTATAGCATTTTTACTTCTGTCAGATCAGTAAAAAATCATCATAGGATGTTATTCACATACTGGATTAGCATTAGCTATAATGTTATAAAAATGGAAAAATCCCAAATTAGAAACTGAGATCAAGATGTCAACATATGTAAGGAAGAACATGGGACAGAGACAGAGAGGCTTGGTTGTTAGATGACTCACATAAAGTGTAAACATTTTAGGCAGAAGAACAATAAGATAAAAAAATAAAATCTAATCTAGGTACCTGATCACATAACTAAATTAAACATTCTGTCAATGAGCCATAATGATGGTCTCAATTTACATACTTCACAAACTATGACACTCTATATATAATAAATTCTTCTTGGGCTACCAGCCATGTCAGGTGGTTGAAAAGTGAACCACCTGACACAGCTGGTATCCCAAGAAAAATTAATTATGCTTCAGCACCATGAAAGCTCCAGATCACATATGATACTCTACAACCAAAATAAGTACCTGCTGTAATATCCTCTGGATTGAAACCTATGCTCCATGGAAATATATATTAGCACAGATACAAAGCAATATTATGCAAAACGCATTGTAGTAGATGAGTTTCTTGAACTTTGGATCAACATCACCTTGTCGGTACCAAAATATCTGTAAATTAATGAAAACACAGAGTTCCAAAATATTAATAAATACAACCAAATAAACACAGATGGATATAAAAAATGATCTCCATTATGAATGCACATATTTGGTTTTCAGATTATCAGTGAAAATTTTCTCCCTTTTGTTTTTTTAAAAATAAATTCATTTACAGAAGATTTATAAAGCCACAGTGTTGTATGAAAAGGAACCAAGCTTTTATATCTCACATGCTCATTGTTATAAAATTTGTTTGTTTACAATGCCCTCAACATTCTATGGCCTGTAATATGGGTATGTTGTGAGTTAGAGGAAATCAAGAAAACCCTGTATATCATGACACCATGATGAATGATTTTTTCTCACTCCATGTAAATAATTCACTTACTTAACACAAATGTCATGGTGTTATTTTACATATTAAAAAAATGATAAATTAACAAAAGCTGTATCTTTCTAAGATTTACTACCCAACAAAATATAGGATTTTGTATTAATCATTCCCACTATAGAGATTTGCATGGTTGTCATATTTATATCACTCATTGTAGGAAATTACACCAAGTATAAAAGCAGAGGCAACCTCTGACTATTTATTTAATGACACTGTCAGTTTCTGAGGTCTTTATGCCAGAAGGGCATAAAGTCAAATAATAGGGTGGCTAAAGAAAAATTAATTGTTAAGGACATGGAAGAAGCAGTTGTGATCTGATGTAAGGTAATATCTTGGTAACTGCCTGGGAGGGACTGAGGAAAATCATAAAATCCTGTCAGGGTGGTTGGTTTCTGGGCCGAGATTTGGATTTAGGGCTTCCCAAATATGAAACAGGAGCAATGTTTCCTGATAAAAGTAGGGCAGTGGATAGAAGTGTAGTTACGTACCAGCAGCAGATGAGAAGCACATATCATTGCAACAATTATTGCCAATGTAATATTCAATCCTCTGTTAGAATTCTCATCATATACGAAGGCACTAATCATTGTAAAGAAAACAACAAAGACGGTGATGAAACCAACAATTACATTAATCAATCGAGCCTGAAAAACAATACAAAATACATTAGGTATCAACAAAACATGAGCAGGGATAGCTCAGTCAGTATAGTGACTAGCTACGGGCTGGACGACTGAGGTTCGATCCCAGATGGGGGCAGAGGATTTTTCCTCTAGCCTCCTGTCCAATGGGTACCGGAGTCCTTTCCCGAGAGTAAAGTGCAGCTGGGGCGTGATGCTGACCACTCACCCCCATCTAGTGCTGAGGTCACGAAAGAGTAGGAGCTATACCTCCACTCCCTCCAAGCGCCTGCAGAGGCATATAGCGGGACAGGAAAAATCAACAAAACAGAACTAGATCATTAAACAGTTACAGACTTCTGCCAGACACTCACAGATCTCAGAAGAAACTGCAGCTCTAGGTTTATCTGAATAAAAACCATCAGTAAATGTGAGACAGCTATTTCATTTAAAAGCTAAAACTGTAAAAAAAAATTGTATTGCTCTTCCATCATGTCAAGCTACCCATACAAAACTTATAAACTATCCTCACACAGGTTAAAAATCTGTAACAAGTAAAATAAAATAAGCCTAAACCTAACAATGCTGATCAAAACTGATGCAGTATTTGCTGACTCAGCATTTCTAGATGCATCCTTTGACAACTCCCCCTCCAAAAAAGAACAAAACAACTAGTATCCACTGAAAATGAAGCTAAATGGGCCACAGAGCCCTTTCCAGACATAGTGGTGAAAAGATAAATCATAAATGCTCCTCCCAGGATTTGAACCCCAGCAATCCAGTCAGCAAGTCATCTTTCTATGTTAGAATCATTGAACTGTACTGTAACATGCATACATTGCCTGATGACAAGGCATGACAGGAGAGGCGTGGGAAAATTATGTGCACATCAGTAAACAATTACTGGGCCAAATCATCATATCTGATTCTGAACATTTCAACAGACAAAACCAAATGATATGTAAATTCATGTTAAACATCTTACTCCAGAACTCTGTTCTGCAGCTCCAAAGAGTGGGACATCTGGAGTAACAGGAAACCCATCAACAGCTTGATATCCTGAAGCCATTCTCAGGTTTTAAATAAGAAAAAAACAAAAATCTGCAACAGAAAATAATGATATTGAAGTGAAACTTCCAAGTACTGATTCTGGGAATTTAGTTCAAAGTAATGGGAAGCAAATTAATGTATGAACCTTACAACTACTGTACCATTACATACTGGTAACTATTTTCTAATTATTACTTTTCAACTGTATAGAATATTTTTCTTTAGCTTACTTTATTTTAAAAGAACAGATAAGCTTACGGTATAACGTATGTGTATCTGTCTCACCTAAACTACCTGCAAATTCTGTGTAACTTATTTTCTTACAACTTATCAATCAAAGACATGTTGACAATGCAAAAATTTGAGGTTACCTCTGGCAAATATAACACATTCAGAATCAGTACTCATGGAAATATGTACAGAAATACTATAATTATTAATTTATAGTTTAAGGAAAGTAAGTGTCATAAGTTTATCTTAGAACTTGCTAAATTCTATTAAATTTACTAGTATTATATGTTTGGAAAACACTAAAAATTTGAACTTCTAAATTTTCTACATATGTCAAAGCTATGAAAATGTGTTTACTCTTGTTTCAAACCTGCATTTTTGGTCTTTACAACTGGGTTACTAAATATGATGGAAAAACTAAAAGACTCCTTAATCAAACATGAAAGACAAGCAACTGCAGAGGCTAACCACACATAAGCCTGAGACAGTGAGGACCAAGACAATGGTGTAGATTTCAATGGTACATATGGGACTAAAGTGACCAACAGGAACAAAAGTTGATGGCAAGCAGAGAGCAAAATACAAATTGTAACATTTCACTCACTAATAATTCTTTGTATAAATCCAATGCTTCCACTGTTAAAAGTAACCAAACACTTTCTAGGCCAATATCTGAGCGAGCGTACAAGTGAGTGAATCTGACAAGGTCACATGACAGTACATAAACATAAGTGTCCAAACCTTAGCTGCCATCATTCATGTTGGTCAGTATAAGCAATTTCAGACATGATACCTGCTTAAAATTATGCACACTTCAATATAAATAATCAAGAATTATTTTAAAATTTTGCAATACTCTGATTTTTTGATTACTTAATGATGGACCTGTCGTAAGACAGAACACTTAATAATAATAATAAATGAAGTTTACTGCAAAGGCTGTATGGAATAAGAATGGTTGGTGGGAGGTAATATTTAAGTGAAGGATGTGGAACTCATAATACAAATTACAGACCGAGTGACCACCGGTATAAGTGGTCCTCCTCCACCTAGTGCCAATAGCCTCTTCAGAGGGTGAAGGTTCAGGGAACCCTTATGTCCTTGGGGTGAGAAATCACCCCTAAAGGCAGATGAACCCGGATGGGTCAATGGCATAGGATGCGGAAGGCAAGGGGAATCCACCGCATTTAAGATCCTCAGGATTTCCCAAGTATCAGCAACTCAAGCTGCTGCCAACCAATCCTTGGATTGATTACAACAGAAGAAGAAGTGCAAATACAATATCACAAATGCACAGTTTAAATATGTGCAAATAAAACATATGCATCAAAAAGCCAAAGGCCTGACTTCCAAATGTGATCATCACATCAGCACTTCTGTGAGCTGCACTAGCAACTTTCCTACCAGCGAAGTAGTTTTCATATTCATTTCGCTGTAGAACCTAAGAACCAATTTTTGAGTATAAAATGGCTTACTGTTAATGAAGAGATACCTAGCTCATATAAGAAAACTAATATGTACTAATGCTGTAGAACTGAAACAGAAAAATATATGTACAAAGATACAAGAGAATAAAATTGATAAGAAATAAGTGGCAATAAGGAAGATGTAAGAATAAATACTGTGTAGCAAGAAAATAGCACCATTAGAGAGAGTTATACCAGAGCTGTAGACTACAAAACCTAATGTTGAATAGATAAAACCTTCTGTACAGAGAACTCAACTCAATAAATGATTGAATTATATAAATACTGATCTCTATAATGTTCTTCTGTTCCTTCATATTAAGTCTTATATTTCATATGGACTATATAAGAAATCAAAAATCAAATAATGCATATAGGATTATTGTAAGATATGTTTTGTTCAGAATACCAGGATCAATTTCTCATAACACAAAAAAGCTAATTTCATTAATCAAGTACAGATCCCCATAATTACTATCATGTTTATAAGAAACAAAAGTCTTCTTTCATGTCTGTTAAGAAACCACAAAGTATTTCATAATGCAAGTAAAGCCGTTTCATGATGCATGTTTCATTTTTTCCCCAGGTATATATGCCAATATAATGGTCCATCATTTATTTTTTCTTTGCCCTTTCTGTTTCCAACACAATACATTTTCTGGATAAATTTAAAAGAAATACAGATGTACATAATTTAAATACAAGACGTAAACATGATCTATATGTGCCAAATGCTAACTTTACTAAATATCAGAAAGGAGTGTACTATACAGGTATCAAGTTGTTTAATAATCTTCCACCAACAATTAAAAGTCTAAATTATGATATAAAGGTATTCAAGCCTGCATTGAAAGATTACCTCTTTACTCACTCCTTCTATTCTGTAGATGATTTCATCTCTGCTGAAAATGTTTAAGCTTTATATCCATAATCTACGTATATGTAAAGCAAGTTTTGTATTTATATTTAAAATTCTGAGGTTTATGTATATTAATTTGTAAAATTATTTTTCATACTTGTATTGCAGAATCTGAAATTTATGTACATTGATATGTGAAATACGTTCTTGTACTTGTGTTGAAAGTTCTGAAGTGTATGTATATTGTATGAAATGACATGTTCTACATCCTTTGGTTGAGTCCTAAGAAGGATCTATGGAATGTAAATAAACTCTACTCTACTCTATTCTACTCTTTATTTCTTACTGTACAGCTGGAAGGGGGGGGGGATGAATCTTTACATAGCTTAGAGACAGCATGTCATAATCCAGAACTGGGGATAGATCATTAATACACACAAAGAAAACCAAAAAACCAAGTATTGATCTGTGAGAAACTCCATGTTTTATGTCACCCTAGTTTGAGCATTTGAACTAGGATTAACAGAACAAGTTCTATTTGTTTTCTACCATTAAGGTACGGCTGCCCAGCTTTACCTTAAGTTCCATATATATTTTGTTTTAGTTTTGATTCACTCAATAAAATGTTTTAAAAGGTCACAAAATATTCTGCCCATATACATTTTATCATTAAGGACGTGTGATATTTCATCCGTGAATTTGTATAAGGGTCCATCAGTTGACAAAAATCTTTTTACTCCAAACTGTTTTCTGTAAGGATAATGTTAAAAGTTCAAGAAATCGATTAGGATATTTTTAAAATACTTTAGAAAACTTCCACAAACATCACTAAAGACAGCCAAATGGTCCACACCATTATTCGAAACGTGGATCGTCTGAATAAAAGTCTATAGCGATACCACTACAACCTATTCCGTACAAACGTTTTGTTGAAATCGCCCCCAATTGCTGCTATTGCAGAGTAACAGCCATTCATAAGTTACGTACAAATACCAAAAATTAAATAGCACACAAAAATCCACATACCACGAAAAACATTTATGATTTAAACATATCCTCAATATACAAACTAATCTTACTTCATTCAGTTACATAACAACCATTTCACTATAAACTGTAAGCTGACAGCACAAACAAGCGCATTTAGTGTCGTATTACACAAACACCAGGACAGTCAAAATCACGTGTTCGTAATTGAAAATGAACGCTGTGGTACAATATAGATTTGCACAACTATGTAACGTAGCAACACCTCTCGGTCAGAAACATGTACTAAAACAGTGGATGCTTCACTAAATCCTAGATCAGCCGATAATAATTCAACTCTTATTTTTGTTACTAGTGCGCTACATCAAGTCAGTAGGTCAACTGCAGATACAGCACAAGCTAAAAACACATTAATGACAGAAAAATAACAAACATCATTATTGTATTTGTGCTATGACCTGTTCTACATCTTTGGCTTAGGCCTATGAAGGATCATCATCATATTCATCAAGTATTAGGTCAAGTGGCCTATTACCGGTTCATTCCGTCTTTTTAACGGTCTTCCCAGGATTATCTTTCCATTCGGTCTGTAGTTCAAAAGTTGGTTTGGGATTCTATTAGAGTCCATTTTTTCAATGTGGTCTTTCTAATTGGCACGATAATTCTGAATAAATTTAGAGACTGGTTTGACTTTAAATTTTTCTAGAATTTCTTCTTTTCTTTTGTGGTCCAGAAGTGTAAAGCCAGCATTCTTCATAAATTTCATCTCTGCTGCTTGCAATCTTTTCTCATCCGCCTTTCTAATTGTCCAGACTTCACTTACATACAATAGTACCTGTCTTGCTAGAGTGCTGTAAATGTTTAATCTTGTTTCTTGTTGTACTAATGATGGTTTGAAGACTTGGTTTGTGACTCCGGTTGTTTGTATAAATTTTGGAATGTAAATAAATTCTGTTCTATTTTAAGAAATTACACGAGTGTAGACAAAGGCAACTTGCTGCTGAACATATCAGTATCTTTCTAACAGTAATTCAATGAAGTCAATAGGTTAAAAGGAGAAAAAATGAGCATAATAAATACAAACAAGGTACTAAATCAGGGTGTTTGTATAACTAGATGTTAACTCATAGCAAGTCAATGCTGTGCGGGGAGGCGAGAAAGGGGAAAAATGTATATATGTATATAATGTATGTATTTAATATCTAACACATGGATAGTACCTCAGTTATAGAATATGATGAAAGGAAGTGAATATAACAAAGTCCCTGTAGGCAACATTAGTTGCTAATGTACATCTAGCAGGACAGTTTTTAATTGAAATGCTGAAATTTAACATAGAAAGTTTCTTACATGTTATTGCTTTTCCACTTGGATACTTGATATGGGAAACTAAGCAAAGATGTTCTTTCTTTCATTCTCAGGAAACTCAGTCTGCCTACCTAGGTCTCCACAGCTATATTCAATGTGTCTTGCAAGCAAACTTAAAAACCAACAGAAAATTTCCAAGATACACGCCGGTCCACAATTTGCATGAGACTTTCAAAATTCTACACATTCATGACTCCATAATAAAATTATGCAAGCAACAAGCAGAAGTAATAAAATCATTATAATCTGTACACAGGAACTATGTAAGAGACTTAAAATTGGTGGCGGTCAAAATTACAGCCGTTCAAGTGACTAGGCTGCTGTTGTAGCATAGAGCAAGTTAAGATACAGCATAATCTACTGCACACTGCCTGATACACAAGAGACCATGTGTATATTTTATGTACTGCAATGTAAATCTGTTTAGTGACTTGGACTGTGGAACAGGCCCTACTTCTACAAAGATAACCATGATGATGAAGGCAGCAAGGATATCTGAAGTGTTGGTAAACGTCTGGTGATGATGGAGGCAGCATGGACCTCTGAAATGGTGGTAAACTTCTACCATTCTACTAAACTACACAGTGCTACAACCCAGAAGACAGACATCTTCATACTCACCACAGTGAAAACTCAAATCTTACCATTTATACAAAGTTTGGAGACCAATGCATTTGCTTAAGTTCTTTAAATTGATATTTATAACAGAAATTAATCATATTCTGTTTTAAGATAATTGTACATTTCTAATAAATGACACTAGTTAAAAATAGGAGTAATCTGATATATTTTAGTTCTCTATACTAATTCTAGTGCGCCACAAGAGAAGTGAATATCCCAAACATACCTTCAGCACCATAAGGTTGAGAATCACTGTTGTGGGGTGAAATGATGTATTAATTTCTATAAGAATTACTCAATGTAATAATATTACATTTATTTCCATAGCTTTGATTATGCCTTTTATTTTTTAAATTAACAAATTATAACGAGTTAAATTATTTCATAGGAATAATATTTGTATACATAAGATGCTGATGCCCCTTGTACTGCATTTCTACTTCGTCCAACTGACTTTTGGAATGTCAAAATGTTCTGTCAGACTATCAAGGTGCCGGTTGAACTCTTCTACTCTTTGTTTGTGTGTCATTGCAGCCTTTTGTTTAATTCGTTCCTTTTGCTGAAAGAAAAAGAATATGTAAGTCAAATGAAAAAAATCACATTCAAATATAAATTACTGTGTAGTGTCACATACACAGAATTATCAGAATAGATATAACTGCAGTGTTATCATTTTAATGCATATATTTACACAGTTTCAAAATTGTTTGAAAAATTAAAAATAAAGGCTGTTATTTCCCTAATTTTATTGTTTCAGGAAAGTATTTATAATTCTGAATGTCATAACCCTGATCCTGATAACGACCATTTTCTTTCTCTTATGTAATTTGTAACACAAATTTACTAAAACTTTAGAACATTGTAATGCAGGTTCTATAGAAAGAGTGATTAAAATTAAATCTGTGCGGTTTCAGTTGAACCGAAGACATAAATGCACACAAAAAGGAACCAACTATTACAAGACAAATGGGAACAGCAACAGATCTTGGTGAAAGCTAATGATGATACAATACAGCCAAATGCCTAAAATCATTTCCTCATGGCCTGCTAACCATTACTTTTGTTCTAGAAACTACAAAATGTTTATGTCCCCTCTTTTGGAAGAATTGAATTCCTTAAAAATATGTCACTACTACACACTGCATGTATATTTCCATAATGCAATGTAGATAGTATTAAAGAGTGCTCAAACTGCTTCAATCTAGTGTAACACCTCCTTGTACTTTGTTCTAAAAATAAAAGGTGTAATGTCACATATTAACAACCATCAGTATTATTTACAACTATGTCACTATATAATGATCTCTTTGTGTATTTTAAAAAGGCATGTATTATCACCTAGCACCCACACTGGGGGCTGAGAGATGGAGGGCAAAAAATGAGACACACAAGATATCATATAATGGATGAAAACAATGATACAACTTTTCCTGTTGACACTGTGACAAAAAATGTAATATGGTTAGGTGTGAAATGCTTTAGTGCAGGTTAAATGTAAAGAGTCAATTTTGGAAAGGGCAAATGTAGGCAATTATGTAATTTTATTATATATCTTTAAGGTTCTAAGGTTGACTTGAGTTTGTTGTAACATTTGATGATAATAATATTCTTCAACTGGAGAAAATATTACCAATTTCTGCACATATCAGTGCTACTTCTTGAACATAACTGAAGAATT